ACTGCTTTCTTGGTGGTATGAGGTTCCCATGTGTCTCTGCTTGCTTCTCTCTTTTATATCTCAGAAGAGATTGGCTTAAGACACTATCTAATCTTGTAGACTTCATCAGTATAACTGCCACCAATCCATCTTATTACATCATACTGATAGAGTATATAACACATAGGGAAATCACATCAGATGATAAAATGGTAGACAATCATACAATACTGGGAATCATGGCCCAGCCAAATTGTTACACACATTTTTGGGGGACACAATTCAATCCATGAAAGTCGACAACCGATCTGATGGCAGCTAACAACAACTGGTCTAAAGTTCACCTAGATCAGCTTCCTAAAATCCCCGCACAAGACTCAAACTGATATAACTAGCTTGGTAAGATTGTTCTAAAAGTTAGAAATAATAGTGTAATTCCTGGCTAAGGATAGCTGGTCAATAAACATTAACTTCCTTTAACTGCAGCAAAGTGAACTATTACATGGTCAGGAGCGGGGTAATACACTGTTTTATATTTGCTCTGTGCTTTAATCCAGGGCTTTGAACCAGTTCATTCTGGTTTGAACTCCTGCTGAGAATTTGCATTTCCACCACCCCCCCCCCCAGAATTTGCATTTCCCCCCGAGATATACTGAATCAGTATCTACAGTTTAACAAGATCCCCAGGTGATTCTTACGTATAACTTCTGGGAGTTTGTTAGAAATGCAAATTCTCAGCAGGGAAGTTGTTAGAAATGCAAATTCTCAGCAGGAGTTCGAACTGGAATGAGTCAGTTTAAAGCCCCGCTTTAATCATACATTCCATGTGTAAGTAGGCTTTATTAGCAGGCAATGTGACCTTAAACTTCTTAACATAGCATTCCAGGCTCCAAACTATTCAAATTACCTGCTGGACAGGTAATTAGATGTGTGTGGTGGGGGAGGGGGAGGGTTGGGAGGGGAGGAAACATTGGCTTTGGAGCCAGATCAATCTAGACCTGAATTCTAATCTGCTGTGTCGCATTAGGGAAATCACTTAGCCTCTCTGTCTTCAGTTACCTCAGCTGTAAAATGGGGGGATAATATTGCCTACCTTACTGAGTAACTGTGAAGATCAGAGATAATCTATGCAAAGCATATAGCACAGTGCATGGCACATAGTAAGCATTCAGTAAACGAATACGTTATTACTCATTGTCTATACATTCTTTCATTCATTCAACAAATATTTATTGCTGGCTTACTATGAGAGGGACCTGAAGTACAACAATGAACAAGACAGTCACAGTTCCTAACAGAGCCTAACAGGCTAGACATAGCATAGATCAAAGAGCATCCAGTAATTATAACAGAAACACTAGACAGTGCATATTATGGTCAGGCACTGTTCTAAGAGCTTCACCACGTATTCACTCACTGAATCCTTACTCCAAACCTATGAAGTAGATACTTGCCCAAGCTTACACAATCAGTGGAGATTTGAACCCAGGCAGTCAGGGTCCAGAGTCTGTGCTTTTAACCGCTATGCTGTGTTGTCGCTCTAAACATTTGAATTGGATTTTATGCCCCCACGGAACATTTCCTTACACAAGCATATAAAAAAAATCTAGTGGATCAAATCAGTAAGAAAGACAGTTATTTTCTGTAGAGAAACAACAGCACAGAGATACTAAGTAATTCGTGTGGGTGGAGACACTGGCCACTGCTGCCTCGTGCCACTCGGCAGCAGGTACCAGCTCCCCGCCCTTATTTGCTTGCCTTCCCACCCAGCAGCTATGTTCTGGCAATAATACAGGTTTTCATCTTACTCAAACCTCACCCCCCATCTGCTATAGCCACAGGGCTCTTCTAACTCCAATGAATTCTCAACCTTCAACATCATAATCTTTTATGCCTGTGTAAACTTTCTTAGGGAAAAGTTAAAGGAAAGTCAAATAAATATGTTTTATTTTGTTGTTTCCTTAAAAGTGTCCTGATGACTTGATTAAGTGGTTTGCTGAGTGTCTGAGAGGCAATCAAGGGAGCAGTAAAGAGGGCGGGACACTAGACTCTAAGTTCATTTCTTACTACACCGCGGACACCACCCAGCTCTGGATGCCTGAGTACAGCCAAAAATGACAGCAGCAGCTTGTTCCAAGAAATACTTTAGATTTATGACGCATATCATCATCACCATCATTCTAGAATAAAAATGACAATGCTAATACGAAGACAAGAAAACACTCTCTCCTAACTAGTTGAGAATAATTAAGACAAACAATGATTGTACTTACTGGAGGACACTGTGCAAGTTTATCAGCTGCCACCAGTTGAACATTTAAGTGTTTACTTTGGGACTTTCCTCTAGATTTAATCAACCGCTGCAAAACCTGATGGAAAATAGGAAATTAAGATACTGTCAACGAGTTGAAAGGAAACCAAATAAACCTAGACTGTTTAAATAGTCTGTTTATCACTGCATATTAATAGAGAGGAAATACAATGTAAGAAATTATATATAAACTCTGTAATGAATCATTCACTTTCACTAGTTTCTAGTTATAGTGGATTCGATATGTTCGTTTTATTCTAGCTCTGTGTGAGGTCCTGGTGGCATTCTGAGTTCCCACCCTAAATTTTACCCAGAGATTTCAAAGAGAGCTCTGCAGAAGGGGAGAACTGCTCTGCATCAGTCATTTATATCCAAATTCAGTTGGGTAATATTTTGGTTCATTATCCCAATGTCAGATAAACAGCAGAGTTATTGCTATATTTGGTCCTTTTGTCACTGGTTATTAATCAGGCATTCCAGTTTAATTTTATGTTAATCAGACTATTTCATGATTGGAAATCTAGGTAAAACATTTGCATTGGTACGTTGCTACATATAAGCCAGTGGTCTAGCTATGTTATTTGAGCACGGCTGTAACTGCCATATACTCCCCTATCCCTTGTTTTACCTAAAACAGGGCCCTCCCCCCAAAACAGTGCTACTTTATGAAGCTCTACGATACCTTTGCACATATGTCCCTGAGATTCCCCCTTTCCTGCACTTATGGATCCCGCGGTGATTGGGGCAGGGGACCAGAAGGGGATGAAATCTATTCCACTGCAGTGAGGAGTGCCTGAACCACCCATCAGCTCCTAGTGAAAGAGACCTGCAGGTGGTCAGGGCAATTTCAATTCATTCTAATGATTCCCAAAAGGGCCTGGTTTGGTCAGGATTCCCAAGATCATTCTCCGCAGAACTAGTGCCAGGAGATAAAAGGGTGAGAATGTCAGAACTACTGGGGAAAGGCACAGCTTCTTTAGCTAGCCGCCGTCCAAGAGAGGAGACCACCATTCTGGTTAGGAGTCAAACTGGCATTTAGTCTCCAAAATGTGAGGCACTGAAAAAAAGCAGATTACTAGGGCAGCACCTTGCAAGGTATCTCCTTCATATTAACTTTTTACCACATCTCTTTTTTTAAAAAGAAAGAATACCCAAATCAAAAGAGACAAATTTGGGGCTGTCTCACTTTTATTTTACCTTCCCAAATGCCATGAAGATACATGACACTTAGTCATGGAACAACTATATTCCTTAAAGAACCCAGTCTAAACACAAATGCCAGCCTCTGTAATGTTTCCATAAGACGTGTTTACACAATGATATTTTACCTTCTCCATATATGATAGGGAGCCCTGGTGGCTTAGTGGTTAAGAGCTCAGCTGCTAACCAGAAGGTCCGCAGTTCAAATCCACCAGCCGCTCTTTGGGAAATCTATGGGGCAGTTCTACTCTGTCCTTTGGGTTGCTATGAGTTGGAATTGACTTGACAACAATGGATTTATATATGTGTATATATATATATATATATATATACATAAGAAGGGTATCTCTATCATTTATATATATAAATGATAGATAAAAAAAGACATTTATATAAATATATACATAAATGATAGAGATACCCTTCTTAAACTATGTATTCTATCAACTGAGGTGAAAATATACATAATACAAGAATCAATGTTACCCAAGAAATGTATCAAGACAGAACTCACAGTTGATGAAGTCAGTGCCTACTTTCCCTCATCTTCCTTCAATTTTGTTTCTACTACACAATTGCATAAGTGTCTGGTTTCTTCCTCACCATTGACAGTGAGTTTCTTTAAGGAATGGAATATTCTTTGTTTGTTATCTCAAAATGCCTAGAGCCTGTACCAACCAACCAACTTGCTGCCGTCGAGTCGAGTCTGACTCACAGTGACCCTATAGGACAGAGCAGAACTGCCCCATAGGGTTTCCAAGGAGCAGCTGGTGGATTCGAACTGCCAACCTTTTGGTTAGCAGCTGAGCTCTTAACCACTGTGTCACCAGGGCTCCAGAACCTGTACAGACCATAGAGGAATTTAATAATGCGCTCATTAAGTGGGTCTCAACAAGATGTTTTCCTTGCCCGCTAGTAATAAAGCACAGAGCAAAGAATATTTTAAAAGAAATGAGCTTCTAATCCTCCTTTACACAGAAATGAGCTAATTACCTTTGGAGATGAGACTTTTACATGGACAATAATTGGCGCTAAGGAAGTCTTTATAAGTTGTGCTGGGTGATTAATGGTGTCCGCATCAAGAACAACCAGTTGCAAAGATCTTGCCAACTCAAAAATTCGTTCAATTTCACTCTGTACTTCGGCTAAAAGGAGAAATGATAAATAACAAGTCATGGTTAATTACTTTTTTAAAAAAAAAGAATATTTTATTGTATTTTTTGGTACAAGTGTACATAGCAAAACAGGTTTCCATTCAACAATTTCTACACATATTGTTCAGTGACATTAGTTACATTCTTCACATTGTGTCAACATTCTCGTTTATTTCTGTTCTAGTTGTTTCATTCCCATTAATCTAGTCTCACTGCTCTCCAACCTTCTCATCTATGCTTTAGAATAACTGTTGACTATTTGGTCTCATATAGATGATTTTTTAAAGGAGCGCTGTACTCAAGGGTGGTATTCTTTACTTTATGAGCTAACTTGCTATTTAGCTAAAAGTTGTATTCGGGGATAGCTTCAGTTCAAGGTTTAAAGAGTATTTCAGGGGAATAGTCTTGGTGATTCCTCCAGTCTCAACTGGTCCAATAAGTCTGAATTTTTTTAGAATTTGAAGTTCTGTTCTACATTCTTCTCCCTTTCTATCAGGGTCCATCTATTGTGGCCCTGATCAGAACATTTGGTAGTGGTAGCCGGACACTATCTAGTTCTTCTGCTCTCAAGGTAGAGGAGGCCATGGTGCTTAGCTTTTATTTACAGAACTTTCAGATATGTTGTCTACATTGCAAAAATGAAACATTTTGAATCTTCATACTCCCGTCTAACTTAAGATCTTATCTAAAGATAGAGATGGGTTGAGTTTTACATAAAACCAAACAGTTGTGGAAGAAATTGAGATGACTCCCTTGATTTGCTTCTTATACTCACCATAATATTTAGCAATTTATATAGCTATAATGATTCTTTTATGTTGTTGTTAATTATTACTTTGTTCTAAAGCACTTTTAACTTTAGAAGCTGAAACCACATGTAGGAAACAACTGAAATACACGTATAGGGCAACATTGCATGGAAAGTAATTACACTGAAATATTTCTATCAATCAGCAAGTTATACATTAACATTTTGTGGGGATGTTTTACAAAAAAAATAACTCATCTGTTTGACTAATATCACATTTTTACACCCCTGAGTAATTGTTCTGATTCTATACTAATAACCAACATAATGGAAATCCTGGTGGTGTAGTGGTTAAGAGCTATGACCACTAACCAAAAGGCTGGCCGTTCGAATCCACCGGGCACTCCTTGGAAACTCTATGGGGCAGTTCTACTCTGTCCTATAGGGTCACTATGAGTTGGAATCGACTTGACAGCAATGGGTAGTAGTAGTAGTAGGTAACCAACATAATACAAACTCTGGCTCAATTTAAGTATTAGGGGCGGTGGACTTGTTCTAGGTCACAATTGTCTTTAGTACATATATAAAAAACAAAACCTAAGACCAATTATATTATATTAAAATGCTGCAATGCATCCAGATGTAAATCTATTTGGTAGAGTGTCTCAGCCAAGTGACCTAAATTTGTATGTGAATCTGGTCAAATAAAAAATCTGGTTATTATCAAATGCCTGAAATAATCCACCTATTTTTAAAAGCAAAACCGATTATCTCTAAAAACATACTATGCTTTCTGAAATTATATGTATATGTATATATATAATAAATCACCTGATTTGTTGGGTCATTTCCAAAGACTGTATTGCACAATTTAATTTTCAGAGATGATCTTGTTTTGTTTTTCACTTGTTTTTTATATTTTGGCTATGGATGTGACCTAGCAATGCTGTAATCTGGTCCAAAGTACAGAGTAGACAATCTATCTAATTTTAATTATTTCAGAGATGGCTTAGGAAAAAAGGTGATATTGCTCTAAATATCCTCATTGAAGAGGCTTTATGCCAGAATCTAAGGGTTTACTTTGCTTATCTAGTATAAACTGAAGTTCACATCACCCACCAAGTTCATGTCACCCTCTCTCAATCAAAGAGATCAACAGGGTGTGCGAGATAAGGAAACCTCAAGATAATCACGCAACTCTATGTTCTTGGGCTTTATGTGGTAGCATTAAATTCCTATTTACCATGGAATCACTGATGTTTAATGCATGATCTATATTGAGTATGAATTTAGAGAGTCAACATAGCTATCATTTTTTACATTATTCAATATATCAATGGCCTAGAAGATTTAACTTTGCTTTGCATGGTGACTGGAATTCAAAATATCAATTTAAAGTATTTGGATAATTAGACTTACTTGCAAAATTCTTCTGAAATAATATTTTACATTTGTTAGTAATAACAGGCACAGTTTTCCCCTTTTCTCACATGTCAGAAGCAGTTAAAAAAGAGATTTTTTTTAGGAGAGAAATTTGGAAAATAAAATCAAATGTTATTGTATTAAGTTTCAGGCTTAGGATGTTGAGAAGTTTTCCATTTGCTGTTTTCATTAGATTGTCACTGGTTTAAGGGAGCTGCTGGCCAGGACTATACTAGAACAAGATTATATTGTTTTAAGTTTCAAATCTGAATACAATATTTCCTGAAGCAGCCAAAATGCAGTGAGGCAAAATGGATTGCTCAGGTACAAAGAATGCATTTCCAAGTAGATCAGAACTCTCGGAGGCCCTCTGAATCTCTATATAGGTAACTCAGAAATACCTAGGCCTTATTTACTTTACACTAGCAATGAGGTAAGGGTGATTTCCAGTGGAAGCAGAGAGCAGACACATCTATTGCTTAATCACCATGAAACTCCTGGGCATTGGGTAACCTTGCCTAAGCAGGGAGGGACCCAGCAGAGCAAGCCAGGAGGCTATAGAGGGCTACACTAAATACTACGGTGGGCCCAATATTTGAATAATATGCATATGTAATACAATAACAAAATTATATACATGAGGAAGAGAAACACATGTTCATCTACACAGCTCATTTTTTCTGAAGGAAGTACCTCAACCAAACCATCTTGGTTACCCATGCTGATTCGCAGAGGAGTTCCAATGGAGGCTTCATCATATTCCCGTTCCAGACAAATGCAACTCTGAGTATTCATGGCCCATGATGCAGGAGGGCCCTCAACAAAACACTTCTATAACTTGAGCACAGTGGATCTGGACCCACCTCTCTCCAGCATCTCTGTCACCAGTGATATTTCTTATACCCAGATCTGTTGCTGTCTCTCCCATGCTTAAAATACTTCAATGGCTTCCCAGGGTCCAAAGCCATGTTTCCCCCAACTGAGTACCATGGAAAACTAATCCCAAAAGATATCCTATGGGAATAAGGTTTTGTTTTTTTTTTTAATGCAAGGTAAATACTGCATACTACAGATTCTTTTGGAATTCCAAATGCACATTAGTACTTTAAAGGCTCCAAGAAATCTTGCATAAAGAAATCTGCCAACTGTTTAACCTATCATTTCCAAATTTATTTAATGATGGAAAACATTCTGAACGTAACAACTATTAAAGTCTTGTAAAATAGTCATTTCATAAAATCTGTTTTGGAGAGCTCCTTAAGGCATACTAGAGGTCTAACAAATTGGCCTCAAGCTACTTTAGCTGTCTCTTCTCCTGTTGCTCTCAATTCTTGCCCCACCCCCATTTTCTAAGCATGTTATACACAGAACTACTTGTCTCTCAACCACACAATGTTATTTTTTATGTAAATGCCTCTGTACATTCCTATCTGCCTTTAAGAAGCAGCTCAGATATAATTTCTGTGATGTCTTCTCAGACACCTCTTATCTCTTACCCTTCTTTCTTTATACACATAGCTCTTCTCTGATAATTCCATTATCACATAGTATTTTAACTATCTGTCCCTTCTCTCTGTTTGCCCATGGGTAAGTCTAGCATAATGCATGGTACATAACAAGTGTTAAATACATATACGATGAAGAAATCCACAAATGTGTATTAACAAGCAGACAAATGGGCATGAATAGCTCACAAAGTGGTTATTATAATAGGTTACCATTAAATTAACTCCAGCGGTTGTAGGTATATGATTAGAAAGTAAAGGTAAACACCAGTGAACTGAGATCTACATTGTTTATTCCTCAATATTTACATTAACCCCACAACACCCACCACTCCCGTCCCCTACCCTACTAACTCTGACATCAGGTGACTAGATTATAAGAAATAACTTCAGCCCCTTGGCTGGTGTAGATGGCTGAAAGAGTCAGAAAACCTGGTTTATGCTTTTAAACCTCTTATTATTCATCAGAGGGAGCCCTGGTGGCACAGAAATTAAAGTGCTTGGCTGCTAACTTAAAGGTCGTCAGTTTGAACCCACCAGCCACTCCACAGTAGAAAGATATGGCAGTCTGTTTCCATAAAAATTTATAGCCTTGGGAACCTTATGGGGCAGTTCTGCTCTGTCCTACAGGGTCGCTATGAGTCAGAATCAACTCAATGGCAGTGGATTTGTTTTTTGGGGAGTATTATTCATCAGAGGAAGGAGTGGTTACAGGGCACTGTGAGGAGTGAGTAAGAGGGAAAAAGACATGAGAACAGAGAACAGGTTGGAGAAATCTTCCACCTAACTTGATGCCCTTGTCACCTGTGATATGTGACTCTACTGAGTTATCTAAGTCGATTTACCATCATCAACACTGCCACTGTCACCTTCTCAAGGTCAAAATACTATGCTTTTAAGAGTGTTTCATGTGAAGGGTGCTAAATGCAGAACAAAAGAAGGACCCTGGAATTTTCCTCTTACAAGCACTGACAACTAGTGCATTTGGTCTGTTTAACTTCCTTCACAATGCAATCATTCAACAAACATTTATTGAGCAATTACTATGTGCCAGTCCTGTGCTAGGAATACAGAGATGATTCTTTGCATCCTTTTTCTAACCTGCACAAGTTAAGGTATAGCTTTCAATGGATTCTTTATGGGATGTTTAAGCATGCAATCTATGTTGGAAACCTTATTTTTAATTTTTTTAAATCAACTTTATAGCTCATATCAGTAGTTTAAAAGAAATGTAGTAGCATAGAAGAGTCCTGTCTTCCTACTCTGCTCATTAGGAAGAAAAAAACAAAAAAAAAAACAAATCTGTCGCCATCGAGTTGATTCCAACTCATAGCAAACTTATAGCACAGAGTAGAACTGCCCCTTAGGGTTTCCAAGGAGTGGCTGGTGGATTCAAACTGCCAACCATTTGGTTAGCAGCCAAGCTCTTAACCTCTGCACCACCAGGGCTCCTCATTAGGAAGAGGACAGTTAAAATAAGTTGCCCTCAGAATGCAAATGAATGCAAAAGAGAATTCTAGAAAGTTGAGTGGATTGTACTACTCCTAGCAATTGCAGAGACCACAACAGGTTTTTCAGATGGACTTGGTGGTTCACCAGCAGCATAGGCTCCCTTCTGTAGATGGTGGTTCCATTCTCCACAGCGCTGCTCATATAGCATGCTTCAATGAAACTAGTTACATGTTGCTTTTTCTTCTTCTTCTCCATCATGGTCAATTTTATGATGCTTTCTGACTAATGTCCTAGGAAAGACATATTTAAATTCCCTGTAATTTCTACTTCTATTTAAAGACTATTCTAGTACCACCAGTTGGCAAAAGCAACACTAAGAACACCATTATCTAGCTTTTCTTCTAAAGAGCAGAGAAGGCTGAACATCTCATTTCCTTTCATGTCAGCTGTGACTCAGGTATGACAGATATCATTAGCCTCACTAAGGAGTTTGGGCAGAGCAGAGATGAGTGGTTTCACCTGGTTCGGCAGTAATAGGCTAGGAGAGCCCACTGAGGATTCTTCCCATCAGACTACTAATTAGCTAATTGACTGAAGCTGAGAATGAGCAGGCTCTGGCTGCTGTAGGACTCTGCTCCCCCACCTCTCTTTTTTTTCATGGCTAGCGTTCTCTTCAGCTGTTCAGTTCTTCCCCATTCAGAATGTGAGGCAAATTGGAAAAGACATTCATAAAAGTAACATGTGTCATCCCAGTCTGAAAGCAAAGCTTGGAGAAGCACATTTGAACATCTTACCTAAGCTGGACCGGGTGTTCGAACGTTCAATTATTGCTCTCTTGCTGGGATTATTTAGGACAGACCTCTTAGCAAGAGAAATGTCAGCAGTCACTCTGGTTATTGATATCCTACGAATAGGAACACAGAACAGAACAAGCCAGTAAAAATTTTATGGGGCTCTCCAAGTGATTTATAACCACAGCACTTAATAACTACTTTATATACTACAGTGGAACCACAGTATAATAAACTTTGGCCTTGGCTAGTATTAAACAGGCTTTGGCTAGTATTAAAAAACAAGCAGAGATGAATGGAGGAAGGCTTTGGCTATTTAACAAAAAATCATTCCAGTAAAAATGCAGCCCTTCCTCCTATTGCCTGTTCTTTATAACGCAACAATAATACCAGGTGGGAATCAAAACATATGAATAAACCATGCTCTTTCTATGAAGCAGCAATACAATTTCCTCGCAATTCACAGCTGATTTGCTCCTGAATAACACCTTCAGAAACTACAAAAGCCTTGCCCTGGTATACCAACACTGATGATCAACAGGGGAACCCTTCTTCATTTTGATCATCAAAGACAAACAACCAGTTATTGGCTAAATTGCATTCTTTGTGCTTAATAGCTAATTAATTCACGAAACATGACAGCATTTCTCCACAGGCCGAAAGAGGTGTTTCATATGTAAGAATGTTAAAAACATGGTTCCTTTTCTGTAAGTATAAGATCTTCAGAATATTTGCATACGACTTTGATGCATAACTCTCACACTAGATGCCTATGTTGCGCAGGCATAAGACACTATAGTTTAGCGCAACGATGAGTCTTGTACCAGGATTCTGATAAGTCAGAAAGTATCCTGCAGTCATATAAGAAAAGAATAAAGCAAAAACATTGCAAAGGGATGAAGAAAGAGAGGTCTATTTGCATATGATTTACCACATGAGAACCTCTGGAATCTACAATTTTAAAATGTTAGCCTTTTATTTTCAACTGAGATTGCTCATCTTTAGATTATCATCTACCCATAGAATTCAAAGTTTGCCTCTCTAAGCCAGTTGCTAACACCCTGGACCTTTCTCCATCCTTCAAAGCTTGGCAGATTTCTCAGAAAGGAAACAAGAAGAGTAGCACCCCTCTCCTTGTATACTGAGTGCACCCACGCTTCCATGTTCAAACTCCTTTGGGGAGTGGAGTACGGAAGAGGGTAGAGTTATTAACAATTATTGAATTATATGTTATCTCACACCCGTTTTGGGATAATGTTGTTAACACTGTCAGGAGACTCTTCACCTGACTTTAGTGACCTGAATCCTTGGGGAGAATTAAAATAATCCTTTATCCAAGTGGTTGGAAATTACTTCCTTAAAGTAACTGGATGTGCAAAAGTTCTGGTACCATTTTAAGGCAATGCACTGCTTGCTTGTGTCACTGTAGGTATAATCTGTAGATTATCAGGAAGTTTTAAATTTTTAGAATTTTGAGGCCCTCTTAATAAAGCATTTGATGTATCTTTGAATTGTCTTCTGCAAAAACCAAGCGTTTTGCAGAAATAACTCAAAAGCCACTGACAGCATTGAAGGGAGACCTAGTTGGTAGGGCTCCAGCTTTTCCACTCTCAACGCTGACACGCATCACTGCATTTCTGTTTTATACTTTGGGGCATTTTCTATGACATCATTGTAAAAAGTTGTTCTGTTGCTAAAAGACATTTAAAAACACTGGTCTAGTCCAACCTCTTCATTTCCAAGAAGGAAACTAAAACACAGAAAGGGAGCTCAATACAGTTCATTATAAGTTAAAAAGGTCTAAAACAGGCTGCTGAGTACCAGGCCCAGGACTGTTACCTGACTCCATAATCCTGCTCTTATAGCTTCAGTTTTCTTCTCCAAGAAGTCTCAAACTCCCAGATATGAGCCAAATTATTAAGTATAGATTTACAGTCAATATTGGCTACCCTCTGAGAGATGGTCAAGATTTAAATCATGTTGAGGACAGGCAAACCCTACATCTTAGCCACTATGAAATCTCATAGGCAATCCCTGTGGTTATAGCTTCTTTTTCTTTGCAGAAAGGGATTTATTTTTGTGGGTTTTTTTTTTTTTTTTTTTTTTTGCTTGTTTCTTTGTTTCCTTCTTGTTTACGAATGGAATTACTGGATAGAAACACACAGGGTAATTCAGATAACTGACTGGAGACAAGTGTGTTGGTTTAGGAATAAGATTCAGCTTTCTACAATAATGATTTCTGGAGGGCCCAAAGAGTCTATTCTGCTTAAGTGAAAATCAAATTTTCTCATTCTGTGTAAGCCAAATAATGACCTTCCTTCTTAGAATTAGAAGCGATCATCAACAAATGCATATTCTTATTGTTTCTGAGTTAAAAAATCACTTTACAAAGCCATTTTAAAACACAAAGTTTTACAAAAATAAGAAAATACAGAGAAAAAGATGTGGACAATAAAAGTTTTTTTTTCTTATTTTATTTGCTAATAAAATACAAATTAATTAGTTAATACAAATTATTTCTTAATAAAAATACACACGCTTGGAAAATAGCTCAGGAGAAAGCAGACGACCCTAGAAACCATTCAATAAGACAAAGCAGGAGTTTCTCTTCTCTAAGCAAAGATGCTTACTATTATCAAGATCAGACATCAAATCCAAGCTTCTTTTTTCATAAAAGGCTCCTCCACAATGTAACTACATTCACCGTTGATTGCTATCTAACTTACATATATATATATATATTTTTTTTAGTGATGCTGTTTCTTTCTATTTCTTTCTTTGATACACTCCTACCCTCTAGTATCTTTCAACACTTGCATGCATTCCTGTTTGGTACACATCTCTAAAAAGCTCTACCATAAACCTTCTGTGACAGTGTTAGCAGTGACTAGCCGGTAGGTAAAGACTAACAAGACTTCAGCACCACAGCAGATAGACGGGTTGTAGAAGCAAATGTCACTGAAAATGAGCAAAAATCTTTCTCTAAATCCAGTAAATCTGAGCTCCTGTTTTTTTGTGCTTTGGAATTAATCATAATCATTGCATTCCAGTATCAGCTGTATTAGTTTTCTATGATTTTCTACAGATATTACTTTGTTATGACATATTCATTAAAAAATAATTAGTATTTACATGTTGGCATCATAAGAACTGTAAGATCCTTCTATACTCTATCCTTGCTACATCTAATATGTATCACTGTTATTGCAGTAATTTTAAAAACTTCTAGTATTCATAGGGAAAAGTGTTCCAAAGAACAGAACTGTGCAGTGTTAAGAGTACACAGACGGAAGGCATAGGGAGACCCGAGTATCCTTCCTGGATCATTCTCTTTCTGTTGCATGACCATGGAAAGGTCACTGGACAAGTCAAGCCACCTCTTTCAGCCTCAGTTTCCTAATCAATAAAATGAAGATAATGGCTTTGCCATGACTATCTCATGGGATTGTCATTAGACGCAAACAAGGTAATACATAAAAAGGCTTTCTTAAATAATTACTCTGTGTCCTATGTTGATGGAAACATATATAATATGTATAAGACAAGCAATCCTTGGAGATTTAAAGACTCAGAGAAGACAGTTTCCTTATATCCTATCCTCCAAAGTTAGCAGTCTAACAGGAACGCTTTCCATTTCCAGAGTCCCTGAAATTTATCCACACTTCGAAGGTGGAAGAACCAAATAAGATATGTTGTAATCAAAATCTGATAATTTAAATATGGCCTTGAAGTGTTCAATTAATTATCTCTAGTGTTTGAGTCTGCATTTGGATAGAGAATAGTAGGAGGAGATGATAGGAGAATGATATTGATTAAAAACAGAAGACACTGTTGTTCTTTTTCCATTTGTTGACTGCAGTTGCAAATTCTTTTCACTCTTACGTAGCGTAGCTTTGTAATAACATCAGTCTTTCCCATTTCCTCTTAAGTTGTATTCTCAGCCTCTTCTCTTAAATTCTTTCTCAAACCTGTTTTTTTCCTGAAGTGTTCCTTGGCTAGTAGCTTCTTATAGCTTAAGATGTTGTCTGGATAGGTTATATGATGTTCACCTAGGATGTTTGGCCATGATCTGTCAGTTACGAAGTGTCCAATAACTGCCATAGGGCAGACCTGATCCAGCTGTCAAAAAGCCTAAAGTGACAACTATGTTGGGATTTGAAATGATTAGCATAGGTGAGCATACTGCAATTGGTTTGAGAGTCTGTTGTTCAGCCTATGAATTGTAGAGTCAACCTGCTGAATAAACCCCATCCGAAAGGATAATCTCCAGTGAGTGTCTGTGGTGTGAAATGACAAGGGAAGCTCCATGCCATTGCACGTCACTGTGTCCTCGCCAGGCAGGTGCCACTGTAGCAGCTTGTTAGGCAGAATTTTATGGTTCTGTGCATAGAAATCATTGCTACATGTGTGAATGTCCATGTCTACAGGGGGCCTTTGAGAACTGTTTAGTATTGTGCTTTTCATTTTTCCTACATTTCTTACAATGAGTCCCTACAATAGCAGTTATTGCAATAAAATTACAGACTAGTAGCTCTAATTCAACTCAAATCATTTCTAAGGTATCACATAAAGTAAGTATATGATTCTGTAAAGGACAAGCTGTTCAACTTTAATTCAATTTGTTAAATTATTTTCTAACCAAGATCTGAAACGCAATATTGAAGAAGAAAGCCTCTTAGCCTGATCTCCTTTACTCATTTTGAAAAATAACAAAACTTTCTCCTGACTGCTTTGTCTAACCAACTGCATCCACAGTCAATGAAACATGCAGTAGATTTCCATTGGAATATATTGTTTATGCTGAATCACTATGCTAAAGCATTTTGTGTAATTGTTCTCTTGGCTGCTTTCAATTAAAGACTATTTGTTGTTTTCTCTCCTTTTATTAATTGGTAAAACATAATGCAGCAGATGGTTATAGCTCAAAATGTAAGGCTATTCCTCACACAAAAGACATGTCAGAGTCCGTGTGAAGCCACCAGCAAATTTCTTCTTCCTCATCAAGGTCTCCATATTCAAGATCTCCATATGGATTCATTACAGCTTTCTCTGCTGCACTGGCCTCTCGTTTGAAAGCAAGGCCAGTCTCTCAGCCCCACCTTTAATATCTACCTTCCCTCCAACTCTGCTGTACATCAGATCTCTCCAGGGCTAAGTCTCTTATTCCAACTATTACTTTTGCTGTTGCTGGATTCTTTCTTACATCTTCAGATCCTCTACCATCTCCTCAGACCCCGTGGAACACTTGGCATTAGAATTCTAATTCTAGTTCTATTAAAATCAGCTTGAATAGTGTAAGTGCTTAAAGCAGGCAATTATCTACCTGATTTGAGACAAATTAAGTCACACACTTTCTCTTTGCCTAATTTTCATAATTCCTTTCTTCTTTCCCATAGGTCCTACCTTTCAAACATTTAATTATATTGTTGTTTATAAGTATGTTATAAATTTATAAAAGCCCTGTTCAGATCAAAGCCTGTTTATAGGACTACTGGATGAGGCACTGTTCAGAACTGTCTTAGGTGAAAGAGTCTAATAACAAACTTAAGTGGGTCTTGAAGAGCATGGAAACCGTGTGACTCCAAGCATAGCTGAAGGAACTGTACATGTGCAACCAAGAACACAGAAGACTCAGTGCATATTAGCAGCCTTCAATCCATAAAGGCTGCATGGGAGTAAGGACTATAATTCAGGACCAGGACCAGGACCAGGACCAGGACCAGGACCAAGACTATTAAATTGGGGAATCAGATTTCAGCTGTTTCATTATAATGCTTTTTTGGTGAGTGAATTCCCACTAGCCAGAAGTTTTCAAACAGAAGCAGGCTGTACATCTGATCGCAGTGTTGGAGATGGGAGATTAAATTAAAAGAAATTTTGTTTCCTTCCAACTTCAATGTTTTAGTATTCGGGGCTTTTTACTTGTTTTCTTTGAAACTACTTTGTTCTCTGCCTACTCTTTAAGAGGAAAGTGGAGTGGGATAGACACATGGCTTTTTTATTAAGCCTTTTGTGCCCACTAGATGAATGTGGCGAAGACTGTTATTTGTTCAACAAAATCCATTTCCTCTTCGTACTGAGTACATATATTTCCCAGTCTCCTTTGTAAGTAGAGGTGGGCACATGATCAAGTTTTAGCCAATGAAATGTGACAAGTGATGTGTGCCACTTCCAGTCCTGGCATATGCCTTTTTTCCCTACCAGCTAACTGGAGACATCACACTCATGGCCGTGGGCCCAAATGACAGATGGAGCAAACTTCCTGCCAGTCCTCTCATTCACCTTCCCCTGCAGCCCAGGAACACCTGCCTTGGGCTTTTAAATGAGCAACAATAAGCTTCCATTGTGTTTGAGTTATTATACACTTCTGGGTCTATTTTTTTTAAGGCAGCCTGGCCTATACTAACGTTGTTAGCAATACACATAGTGGCAATAAAGCATTCTGATTTCTTGAACCAAAACCTCAGTTGTTGGAACTAAAACTTCAATTCATTTTATTTGTATATAGTCCCAAAAATTAATAAATATTTTAACACAATTATCCGGAAGGTTTTTCTTTTCACAAATATGTACAATTTGCACTTAAAGCATTATCGTGTTTGCCTTTTTTTCCTTAAGATGCTATATTTATTAAAATCTATTTGAAGATTTTTTAAAATTTACAATTATTTGTAAATTTAAAGGGAGTAAATAGGATGCATTTACCCATACTTTTCAGTACACACTATTTAAGTTTCTTCATTTCTGATATGTCTTCAGGTAGTCTCATGGAATTATTTTTACATGCAATGCATTCTGCATTGTGAAGATCTTAGTACTTACTAATGAGTAAATCTGGATTTTTTACCATTTCTCTGCAAAACACAGAAACTTTTTTATAGATATTTTGGATCACAGTAGAATCCATACAAAATAGGCCAATAAAATAACAAGATTATTTTGAATATCTAAAATTAAGCATCCTAATAAGTGCTATTGCCTACAAAATAGTCTCTTTGGGAGGCTTATGACGAAAACATTTCTTGGACTCTTCTTCTGGAAGACGTTTAGCACATTATATTTATATCTTCATATAACACACACACATAATTCCCAAATGATATCATCCAGTTTGACCAGCCAGCCACCATATTCATCAGAAATATCCTAGATTTTAATTAATATCTTCCATAAGAACCAGTTTGGTATGAATTCATTAGTATAATACATAAGAAAATAAATTAAAGACAAACACATACATTTATAAAACATACGGATTATTTTCCTTCTCAAGGTCCTTTTTCTTTAGGGATTCAGTTCTGTATTTCATACTTTTCAGAGCTATTACATTTTATTCTTCCCTGAATACTAAGTTAACCTTTCATTACAAAACTTCTGCAATCACTAGAGACATAGATCTACAAATCAATTCATCATACATGTTCAGTTACAGGAAAATAAAAATACAAAAACATCTATTTGTCTCACCTCCCATCAAACCTGTGCTTCAGGAAATCAAAGAGGGCTTTCTGCATCATGTCTGTTACCTTTGCAGAGGTGAGAAAAAAAGAATGAGGCAAACACACGCAGAGAGAGAAAGAAGTCAAAAGTGAGAGAAGTGGAAGGTAAGGCCACTCTGACTGAGCTCAGACCAGCTGGCCCCTAGAGATCTGTTATCTTGGAAAGTATTTTTCATGCTTAACCATTTGCAGGTACTAATTTTTTTCCTTTTGGTTCTCCGCCAGGGTGAGGACTGAACCAGCAGAGTTCACTAGACCCCAGGTAAACTCTCTTCCCTCTTCATTTACTAGGGGTTTGACTGCTGCCAGGAGACAATAGGCTGGCTTTGTGCCCAGATGCTGGTGTCCTTGGCATGCCCAAGCTGTGCTTGCCTCCAGTGAGGAGCAGCTAGAGACCCAGGCCAGCCCTCAGCAGTCCTGTTAGTCTGTGCATTTTGGTGGAAATTCTCCATGCCCAGGGCTGGATTTGTGTAGACCACTCTACTGCCAATCCCGCTGACATTCCCAACTCAGAGAGAGAAAGAAAGACGGAGAGAGAGAGAGAGAGAGGATTCTTAGATCTGCCTCCTTAAAGAGATTTGTAAATTCATTCAACAAATATGTACTGGGTGTCTACTATGTACCAGGCATTGTCTTAGCTCAGTGGGCACACTGGAAGTTGCCACCTTTAGATTTTAACATTGTTCCCCACTATTTTCATCTATGCTAACACAAAATCAAAATGACAGCATCTGTAAGACATCTATCCCTACCCTTCTCCTTGTTATATGGCATTGTTTAATTAATCTCCAGAGAAGTTTACTAACATTTTTTGTATGTGTTTTCTGTGTGACCTTTAAAATAAATGAAGAGAGAAATACTTGATGGCATATGCTGTGGTCTTGAGTGCCCAGCAAGGTGGAATTTGATGGTGCTTCGAGAGGGTTTGGAGCCCTGGTGGCGCAGAGTTAAGAGCTACAGCTGCTAACCAAAAGGTTGGCAGTTCAAATCCACCAGCTGCTCCTTGGAAACCCTATGGGGCAGTTCTACTCTGTCCCACAGGGTAGCTATGAGATGGAATCAACTCCACAGCAATGGGTTTGGTTTTTTTTTTTGAGAGGGTTTAGGTTTGCTGGCACATTGTCGATAATGTTTCTTTGTGCTGTTCATTCTCTATTATTCCTAGTAATATTGGGAACAGTTGAGACAAATACTGCCCTTTTCTTTAAATTTAATGTAGAGCAAATCTTTGACTAGACTGCCCATTGTATATGTTTTGAGGGAGCTATTTCTAAACAATGTGATGCATAAAAGATGAAACGCGTGCAAGACAAGGAAGAAAGAGCAAAGGGGCCTCATAAGCCCCACACTGCACCACCCACCTCCATATCCTGAGACTTGGCACCTATAAGTAAACAGACCCTGCAGGAGCAAGTGCCACATGACTGTCCCTGAGTTCTTGATCAAGAACTGAAGAGTAACAGACTGATATTTGTACCTCATAACCCTTCAGTGACGGCCCCACTAACACCACTGGACGCATTGATGGCACAACGTCGTAAGGAGGAATGTGCTCCGTCTGAAAAAGATGATTCAATATGCATGACAAGGCGAGGATAAACACCTCTTCAATAGACACAACATTCATAATTCTCAGGTCAAACAATAAATGATTTCTGCAACTCCCCACTGAGGAGGCTCACCCCTCATTTTATAGCCATTTGAGTCACAAAATGAGCTCTGCAGGCATGTATATACAGGCACCTAAACAGTAGATTTAAAAAGGAAACACAACTTACCACTTTTTGCTTCTGTTTTGCTAAAAGACAACAATGAGAGCCATATCAAAATACATAATCTCAGTAAATGATAGTACATGATCTTAAAAGATGGAAGAATGTACCAGTTGGTCCCTATAACTCTCCAAGTCATTTCTCTAGCACCCACTTTGTATTATTTAATTCTTTATATGTCAATTTTGAAGGCATATGAAAAAGGAGACAGCGTCTACCCTGCATGCATGTTCTTATGTTCTGACTTCTGGTTGCGTGGGGATGGTGGACAAGTGTTCATTACAACGCTAGAAATTTGTGGTTAGTCATTAGCTATGGGTCATCTGCATACTAGACACAGCATACAATGTGTCTGAGAACAATTTGGACAAGTGCAATTTGGTAAAAAGAAACTTAGAATAACAATTGGGCAAAAGTGGTTATCATCCCCTTCACTGGTTATTTTTGGATTTATAACTTTGGTGAACCATTAGATAATTTTATAATCCTTTATATATGTATGTATTTTTTTCCATTTTCCACAATATTGGCACATTTTTCCTACTATGTTGTTTTTAAATTTCAAATAAATTTATAACCAGCTATTCCTGTTCTTTCCTGCTTATAATAGTGGAAAAGCTGGAATAACTCAAATGTCCAACAAATGGGGATTGGGCAAAATATACTAAATATCTGATTAAGGTGGTCTTGTGGTCATCCAAACAGGTCCAGTCCACTTAGGGCCAACCCAGAGGCCTAGTTTGGTTTAGAGCCCTAGAAATCAGGAGGGACTCTTGTGAACAAAGTACCAGATACTCAGGACTGTTCTAGAACCAATTCAGTTTTCTGCAGATATGGGCAGCCAGAATGGATTCTTGGACTTGTCCTTCTGAATTGTGAATACCAGATGGCCTACTCCAGTACCAGCTCTGGGCCAGAATGAAATTAGTCTATGGCAGTCAGGGAATGTGACAGAAAAAAATTCCTGCTTGAATACCTCCATAATTTCCAAGCACACAACAGTTTCCTCCTCGTGCCACCCCTGTCCCTCATTACCATTAACTTCAGGGCTCAGTTGTCTGCTGTCCAAGTAAAAATGAGGTCACGTGGGCTGTACCTCACCCTACACTTTAGCCCTCCCAATCTCGATGGGCCAGACTGTACCAACATATCCTTAATGTTCACATGGAGACTAGAACAGAGCATTTTCATGAGAGTCTACAACTTTTAATTTCTTTTTTTAAATTGGCCCTTTCAGTCTTCAAGTCTAATGGGTTCTTGGGTGAAATAATGAACTTGTTTTAAATTGGTTTACACAATAGGAAGTTACTGACTTCAGGGGGTAAATAATATTTTCAAAATTATGTTATAATGATCTGAATTTTTAGTACCTTTTAAATCAAATCAAATTAAAATAGAAAGAAAATAAGCAATATAATATTAAATAGGAGAATCTTTAAATGAAGCCTTTAAATTGCTTCTAAGTTAGCAAAAATACTTTCATTTACACTAAAAAATTAAGAAAGGAGTACATCCCATTAAAAAGAGTTTTAACTAAAATCCTCACCTGTTGATGTAGGTGTTGCTCTAAACGTCCCTGACACCATTTCTCCAAGACTTGAAGAAGAATTTCCACTTGACTTCCTAGGATATAGACAAGGAACTTAAACTCATTTCCCAGATTCCTTCAACATAGAACTTGGGAGTACAAAGTTTTCTTTGGCCTTAATCCTACTGTGATGGTTAAGGTTGTGCATCGTCTTAGCAGGGCCATGATTCTCAGTAGTTTTGGCAGTTATGTAAGATGAAATTTGGCAGTTATGTAACAATGCAGTTATCCTCTATGATGTGATCTGATGTGATCAGCCAATCAGTTGTAAGGGGAGTTTCCTTGGGAGTGTGGCCTCCATCCAATATATGTACGGATGTTCTGGCAAAGTTCGCTTGCTTGCTCTGGATCCTGCATTCGGCTTGTCATCATCTGACCTCGGGTTCTTGGGACGTGAGCCAGTGGCCTGCCATACTGCCTTCGATCTTGGGATTCGTCAGTCTCCGCAGCCTGTGAGCCAGCAGCCTGCCATCTTACCTGCCAATCTTGGGTTTGTCAGTCCCTGCAGCTATGTGAGTCAGGAGAAGCCTCCAGCCTGATGCCTGACCCATGGACTTGGACTTGGACTTGGCATTTCTACAACTGCATGAGCCATTTCCTTGCAACAGATCTCTCTCTATATATATGTATACGCTTCACTGGTTTTGTTTGTCTAGTGAACCCAGTCAGGACACTTACTACATAATTCAAAACATACCAAGTCCTGCTATAGAGAAGAACTTCAAGAATCTGTCCAAGTGCTTTCTTTGACCTCATTTCTCAGAGAAAGTGGGGAACTAAGTGGGACCTGGAAATATTTTGCAAAAGTGTGTATCCTAGTATTCGATACAGAAATTAGGCACAAGAAACACTGGCAGAGATGTACTTGTGAACTTCTCATTTAGTTAACACCAGTCACCAGTATGCCGATCAGATGTCAAACACCGCTCAAAACAAACAGTAAGACCTAGAGGAACCATTTCTTCTTAAAAGTAATTATGTGGGGGTCAGAATGAAGAATCAACAGTAAGGAATCGTTCACAAGTAATTTATCCCAAAATGGAAGATAATCTGTACTGGTCTCCTCTTACGTGCTTTGGAAGCTTTCCTGGAGCCCACAGAAGCCCTCGGGGAGCCCACCTTCCTACTTATCTAGTGTTCCCCCCTCCCCCTACTTCTTAGTGCTTAAGAATATGGTCCCTAGAGTCAGAAAAATCTGATTTCTATCTCTGACCTTTCCACTTACTAGTGGTGGAACCTTGGCATGGTAAAACATGTTTGAGCCTTAGTCCCCATCTATAGAAGTAGACAGAACTTATACCTCATCCATAGTTGGTATGAAGCTAAAATAAGATGATGTCTCTGAGCTCCTGGCTTTATCATGTGTCTGCCACAGTGAGGTTTTAGTTCAAATTTTTATAATAATATTAAGAAATAACAATAATAACAATAAAACAACTTTGGCATAATAATAATAATTTACTTATTCTTTTACTCAGTGAATATTTATTGAGTACCTATTGTTTTAGAAGCTACGGATATAACAGTGGGGAAGAAAAGACAAAATCCCTTCCCTTATAGAGTCACATTCTAATGGGAGCTATCAATACGAAGTAAAACAAATAGGTAAATACATAGTATTTCTGATAGTAGTAAGTGCAACAGAGAAAACAAACTCAGGAAAGGAATAGACAGTACAGGGAAGGGTAAGCAAACTTTGAAACAGGGTGATATTTAACAAAGATCTGAAGCAGACAATGGGATAATTTGGTAGACATGGTAGATTTGATGAATTTGGTGAGGGAAAGGCTTGCAGATAAGAGGAAATGGCAAGAGGCAGGAACATATGTTCCCAATGTGTTCAAGAACTGGCAAGGGAGACAGAGTCCAGAGAACAGGGAATAAGAGTCATTAATAACTAATGATGGTATAAGCAAGGAGACTTGGTGGTGCAAGGGTTAAGTGCTCAGCTGTCAACTGAAAAGTTGGCCGTTTGAACCTACCCAACATTTCTGTGGAAGAAAGACCTGGCGATCCACTTCCATAAAGATTACAGCCAAGAAAACCCATAGGATGGTTCTACTCTGTCATATAGGGTCATTATGAGTTGGAATTGACTTGACAGCCCTCAACAACAACAATAATGGTACAGGCATATTACATACTAAAAAAGATTGATAATTAAAAGTGGGGCTAACTGTACTTTGGTGACCACCTGTATTGAAAAGTTTCCCATTATAACAAAGGCAAACGGGCCCCTAAAGTACAGAGTTTCTGAAACAGAAAAGCGTCCAACAGAAAAAGGAAGCTAAGGGAAGAGAGAAATTACTGCTTTTATTTTATTTCAAAAATCATAACACATCAAATTCAATGCTTCAGTGCAGGCTGCGACAGAATATATGCAGGGTCAGTATGATTCTAATTTCTCCTCTCTCGAGCTTTGCTTTTACAGGCAGACCCTGGGTTATGAACATCAGACTTATGGATAACTAGTACTTGCCTTTTAATGTTATGTAAATTTGCCCTCACTTTGAAACAACTGAACCAGCCCCTGCTTGACTGAAACAACCCCTACTCGCAGGAAATGCTTCATCACAATCATCTTCACTTGCTGCATGTGCAGCTTTTAAATCATTGAAAAGGCTTTGAGCCGTTTCTTGCACTAAAATAAGGCTAATTAAGAACCATATGCACCTGTTCTGACTTACCTACAAATTAGACTTAAAGACACAGTTAGGAACAGACCTTGTTCGTAACCTGGGATCTGCCTCTACTCCAGGGACCTTTAAATACCTGCATGCTGAAATCTCTGTAGCTACTTTATTAGTTCACTAGAGGCTGGTTCATCCTAAACTGAACAGAGTCTTCACCCCATTACCAGGAAATGTAATGCTGCAAAAAGCCCTGGGTGGAGAAGGTGACGCTAGTACAGGGACCTGCGTTCACCATCACATTCCATGATGAACAGATAGAGAGTCTCTGAAAGCTAAACGAGAGGAGCAGGATGCCTGGTCAGTTCAGGCTTCCAACTATTGTTCCAGGAAAGGATGCTCTATATAACTCTCAGGAAGGAAAGCTTGGTTCCAAGGAGGGTTTACTGAGGTCACAGAAAATAGTCTTAATTGTGGAATTCTTGTTGATTCCAATGGTGTTAGGCTTCAGCATGCAAACGGGGATAATGAAATATCTGAAACCCTTCTTGTTGATTTCAGGAACTCCATGTACTCAGCAAAGTATCTTTTAGTTTGAAAGCATACATTTTTAACCTGATAAGTAAACTTAAAAATATGAGCTAATTTTCCTGGAGAGGAAAAGAGATAATAGAAAAGAAGAAACCTTACCCTCCGTGAAAACGTCCTCTTTTTTGTTCTTGCTGAATCCGAATGTTCTCCAGTCTAAGCGGACTTGGGATGAAGCCAATCTCACAGCCCTCTTTCACCAGCCTTCCTATCCACCAATCATTGTTATATTTCTGGAATGCAGAAATAAAACAGCTCTCAACAGTAATTAACTTATCTTCACTTTCCATTAATTAATTTTTGGAGACTAGGAGATCCGAGCACTATATATATCATGGTATGTTATGTGTTATGTTTTATATTATGCTATGCTGTACTATACTATTAAGGTCAACTCTACTTTGAGGAGGCAGCTCTTCCCCAGTCATCTTTTCAGTGGCTTCCAACCCGAGGGGCTCATCTTCCGGCACTATATCAGACAATGTTCTGCTGCTATTCACAAGGTTTTCACTGGCTAATTTTTTTCAGAATAGACCGCTAGGTCCTTCTTCCTAGTTTGTCTTAGTCTGGAAGATCAGCTGAAACCCATTTGCCATGGGTGACCCTGCTGGTATTTGAATACTGGTGGCATAGTTTCCAGCATCACAGCAACACGCAAACCCCCACAGTATGACAAACTGATAGATGCGTGGGGGTACTATACTATATTATATATTTTAGGGCCTCTGTGAGGGTTTCACAGACTAAAGAAGGGGTCTGCAAGCTTTTTCTGTAAAGACCTAGATAGCAAATGTTTTAGGCTTTGTGAGTCATACAGTTTCAACTGCAACTACTCAAATCTGCCTTTGTAGTACAAAAGTAGCTCTAAATAATGTGCAAACAAATGAGTGTGGCTGTGTTTCAATACAATGATTTTTCCAAAAACAAAAAAAAAAGTGGTTGGCTAGATTTCGCCTGTGAGCTACAGTATGTCAACCTCTGGGCTAAAGTCAGGTCCTAATCTTTGCATTTCTTGGTCATTGTCAAGAAGTCCTAACCAGTTCTTTAGGAACAGGTTTTATAAGGGCAAGTATGTATAGATGTAACTGAAACTCTAGAAGACAAGACAAACATGCCTCAGATGGAACACATGCATAGTCTGTCATTTGACAAAAGCTTTCAGGCAAAAATTCCATGATACTGTACATTCACTGGGGAGGAGCCATAATCTTCCAAATAGAGGTTTGCAAATTAAGGTTCATCTTACTACCTAAAGAAAGAGAAGCCTACTCTTACAAAGTCTAAGCATACTGCATATTTGTATGTGGAATTTCTGAGATAATCTCCATGCGGCCTGAAGCTCAACAGTAACTCCAATATTTCCATTCTAAATAAAGTTCCATGACATGTAAACTCAGGAAACAAGTCCCACAAGGGCTTCAGCCAATGCAGAGTGAAACTCTGTCAACGTGGCCTTATTGGATGGGTCAGCAAAACTGCATTTGTAATTCTAGATATGCTGAATCCTTCAGCAGAAAGCGATTTATCCCAAGCCACCTGTCCTTCAAGAGGAGGTTTTAGCTAGGTCATTTCTAGAAAACAGCTATCAGTCTTACTGTTTAAATCCTTGTGTAAACCCACCCAAGATGATCTCCAAAACTTCCTTTTTTGCTTTATCAGCATTGGCCAGATAACTCTCTCTCTACTACAGATATATATATATATAAACCCAAGCCCATTGCCATTGAGCCAATTCCAACTCCCAGCGACCCTATAGGACAGAGTAGAACTGCCCTATAGATAAACATAATTTATTTTTCACAGAGTAACAACTATATGTAGTGTATTTTGCTTAGCTCAGAAAAAAAAGGTGGTAAATGGCGGAATTTATATGTATATGGCACTGACACACTGTAAAGCAGGGATGGATGAATGGTTTCATTGCACCATCACAGCAAGAAATTCTGCGTAGACTTAATGGTTTGATTGAAACTGGAGGGACCCTGGAAGACATGGCCCCCAGACTCTCTGTTAGCCCAAAACTAAAACCATTCCTGGGGCCAAATCTTCAGACAAAGATTAGACTGGACTATGGGACTTAAAATGATACTTGTGAAGAGTATGCTTTTAGCTCAAGTAGAATGAGACTAAATGGAAGCTCCTGTCCAGAGTGAGATGAGAAGGCAGAGAGGGTCAGGAGCTGGTTGAATGGACACAGGAAATCCGAGGTGGAAAGGAGGAGTGTGCTGTCACAGTATAGGGAGAGCAACTAGGGTCACATAACATATGTATAAATTTTTGTATGAGAGACTAACTTGAATTGTAAACTTTCAATTAAAGCACAATAAATAAATAGGAATAAATAAATAAATACATAAAAAAGAAATTCTGAGTAATTTTGAACCCACAGTCTCAAACTGAAAAGAAAAACGATATGGTTTAGGGATTTGGCCTTTATTATGCACACAGCTCCTACACAAGGTGCAAGGTGTGGAACTCCTTTGTGGTAAACAATTTTTGGCCTTTGGTCCTGGTTCCTAATGCCAATGAGTAGGGGCTGACCAGACCTAGAGGAACCACCTGAAGGCCCAACACTTACTAAGCTTCAGGAGGCATGATGACTGGCCAAGTGGTGAGGCCAATAAAGGCCCTGGAAAACAGACGATCAGTGGAGCTTCCTGGCTGATGAAAGTGCACATCTGCTCTCGGGAGGGTAAGCACATCCCCTGGGGACATGGAAACTCTGAGCCGAGACCACTCCTGGATTTTGCTCATGTGTTTGTATCCTTTTTCTGCTAGATTAAAGATAACCCTTTCCCTGGAGTTTGTGATTTGTTCCAACAGATTATTGGACCTAAGCAACAGAGAAGGGGCCAGGACACTGATCTAGCCCCATGTGAATGGCAATGAGAGAGAAAAGGGGCTGGCACCTGCTCAACCTAGCCCCAAGTGAATGGAGATGAGATAGAAAGGGCCGTACTGGCAGCTGGGGTCTGAACTGACCAGGCACGGGAAGCTGAGACTTCTACAGGTCACAGTTTGTGTGTGGAGTGGTAATTATTATTCACAACATATCTGGTGTCAGAGGTGGGTGATCTCAGCCTCCCTGCACTGAATCGATATAACTGGTGACTCTAGTGGGACTCCCTTGAGTGGTCTTGACTTTGCACAAGGCACGCAAGGAATGTCATATGAGACTGTGTTGAAGAAATGTAAGTTGACCTAATATAAAATCTTGAACAATCTAGGTCTCAGTTTTCCCCCATCTTTTATTTCAGGATAACAGGCCTAAGATAATAGTCCTGTTTATTTTGGAATTAACAAAAGGCAAGGGGACCCTTTTAAATCTTTGGTGCATAGGTCTGGAATTTAGATTTTACTGTTGTGGGAACAAAACATACCATGAGTCATAGATTCCTAGGGCTTAAGTTATTTTCTGAAATTAAGTTAGCCCACTGGAATACTAATTTATTAAATGGTACCGAAGTGACCTTAATAGGTCACAGGCTGGTGCAGTTAACATGCTCAGATGCTAACTGAAAGGTTGGAGGATCAAGTACACCCAGAGGCTCCTCGGAAGAAAGGTCTAGTGACCTACTTTCAAAAAAATCAGTCATTGAAAACTCTATGGAGCACAGTTCTACTCTGACACACATGGGGTCACCAAGAGTCTGAACTGACTCCATGGCAACTGTTTTTTTTTTAAGTGACCTTAAAGGGCTTCCTGAAATGGTTAATGCAACTTCTTAAATGTTTTAACTTAGTTTTAGGAAGAGATGAAGCACAGTGAGACTCTGACTCAGCGTGAATGAAAGTCCTTTGAGTTTCTTGGGAGAAAGCCGTTATGCAAATTCAAGAGCTTAATTCACTCATCATTTGGCTTATGTGACAAGTCTAGCTGTAGCTCTTCACTGTGTTTAAGCTTTTTCGTTACTGAGAAAGTACTTAAAATGGTGTATAATAGATGATCTTCTAGGTGACAAATGAGAGGAAAGGCTACAATTGGATTATAGAAATGTGTTCATTTGCATTGCTGTTCCAAGAGCATGTGCCAGCTTTAGGGCAAGGTCACCTTAGTGTTGTTACAATCCTTCTCATTTTGATTTCCATAAAATAATTAGTGCTTTGTCTTTCGAAGATATTTTCTTATCTGATGTTTCAAGATCTGAAAGCAAGTGGCTCTAATCCACATAGGATTACTAGCTCAATATCATACATCAAACTGACAGACTAAAGAGAATGTCGCTGATCAACAAACACACAGATAAAAAAGCAACCAAGAGGACAAATATCGATGGAATGGAGAAGAGCAATAAGATACAAGGTTGGGACTTTCATACAAGTGAGTGTGCGTGTAATATGTAAGATCTTCTTTTACTTCTTAAAATGCTGCGTCTCCTTGGAAACTGGGTGTTTGCAAGTAATAAATATGCTTTGTCATTTTTTACAGGGATGGTGAGACAGAATCAACTTAACCATTCAGATGCCAGGGCACATGTTTCAGACCAAGGGTCCTTGTCTTCTAGGAAAATATGGCTCTTGAACACTTCAGAAAATTTCCTTGCATAAAGGAACAGTCTATAATTGTGGAATACTGGACTAGAGAAACCCTTTCATTCCTTTAAGGAACAAGCTCCAGTTGATGAGGAAAGAATAATAGAGTTATTGATAGATTAGTTACAAAGAAAGATCAGGCACTAATCTATTCAAGAAGGCAGACTGATACAAACAACTTATGGAAGAAAGGGAAGATGGTCAGATAAAGTAGGTTTTAAATACTCATTTTAAAATGTTAGCAGTTCTTGCAAATACAGGATCATATCAACTATAACACTTAGACTGGAGAATTAGAATAACCTGTATCTTGCAGACAAACTGTACTAACTCTTGCGCCTGCTCTATATTATGTTTAAAAAGCCACACACATATATAAGCATAGCTGAAAATATGTGGAAAATTATAACCCCTTTTCAGCATTTTAAGTATTTTTGCTTATGAATTTCTCTTCTTGCTCATCTCTAATCATCTCTTCCAGTGTCTGTTTCCCCCAAAAGGAACCTTTCACACCTCTCAGAAACAAAATCTGGCTATTTAAAAAATAAACAGAAAATTAATCTTCAGAAAAAACTAGGGGCTGCTAATTCTGCTCTGGTTTCTTCTCAAGCCTCTGATGATTTAAAATATAATTACATCACTAACTTCTCATAAAATGGCCTACAAGCTTATGCTTTAGGGAGTTGGCATGATGTTGCTAGGACCACATCTTGTGAATTTGATGAATCATCCTCGAAGCCAACGTGGTTCTGATAGCTAATGCAATATTACTGGTAGGCCAATAAAATAACACAATACATTAGACCAAAGAAGCATTTGGTTCTCGATTACAATTCACCCCATAGTTCTTGTTAATATATATATAGTAATAACTAGTCTACCGATGTGATTAAACATTGTTAATTAAAGAGAGGCATATCTCCCACAATATTGTACTATATGAAAATAACTGGAAAAGCTGCTTGTGATGTCCCCAGAACCCTTCTTTCCATGCATCCCTTGCAGATGAGCACTGCAGTTAAGGAAAAAAAAAAAAAAATCACACAACTGGACAGATGGGAGTAAGCTGGTTCTTCCACTCTCCCTAATAACTCTTCTGAACCTGTTTATTGTTCCTTAAACGTGCCTCTCCTCAAAGCCACTCACCTGGTATCATTAACTCATACATCATCGAGAAAGCAGAAGCCATCGAGCTGATGCTTTCTTAGCTTCTCATTCCCAATGCTCTGAGCTATCTGTGCCCGCGCTCATCTTTTTCCTTCACGGTACAATGAAGAAGTGTTCCTCTTCCCACCAAAGGTGTGCCACACCCCAGCCTTCCTGCACACTGAACCCCTCAGGCTTCACCACCTCAGTGTAGCTTTCCCTAGCCCCTGATCTTCCTCCTCCCCAGCTAGAAGGTCTCTCAGCTCTTTCTTTGCACTCCCACAATACTCATTCAATTTTTCTCTAATGGAACTTGCTATCCTGCGTTGAAACTGTGTACTTGTCTGTCTCTCCTATAAGAATCCAACGTAGTCTGCAGAGATGTCGTTTACCTCTGATCCCCCAATGCCAAGCACAATGTCTGACATGAAGTGGGACTTCAATATACCTAGGTTAAATAAGTTAAAGTATTAGATGTCACTATTCTACCTCTCAAGAGCTGGGAACTCAAGTCCTTCTATTTCCCAGAGTCCTTTGCCCTTTTCTCAGCTTTAACACTTTTCTTTAATAATTATACTCTCTAGTGTTGATGTCAATGCCAAAGTTCACAGGACTGTAGCCCAGATATCTATAATTATAAGACCCCTTATAAATGTTCCCTTTGGGGTGTGTGACATGCCACCAAACTCATGTTTCCTTAAGTTGGATCCATAGATCAATGGCTCTGCAGTCATCCAAGGTGATTAAAAGGTGACCAGAGGAATCACAAAACTGTCCTAAATCTTTATATCCTATGATGTTAATGGCTGGCCATAATCCAATGTTGCAAGTTTGTGATAATGCAAACAATGATTTCAGGCTTCTAAATTTTGGCCATAACAAATGGATTTGGAAGGCACAGCAAAGGTACCACGTTGGCAGCTCCTCAGGTCTCCTTTCTGTTTACTTTGGCTCCGAGCTGATTCCAGGCTTTGGCTTTTTGGCAGGTTAAGGGATGCGGTGTGTCCTACATTTACCTCTTTAATGTGTAGAAAGTCCTTGGCATCAAAGGAGATGGCCGTGCTTGGAACAGGCACATCCTCATCCAGGGCACCACAGTAGCTCACATTCGTCTTCACAGCAAATGCTACAGGTTTGGACTGGGGACAAAACCACGGAATAAGGAGCAAGGGAGGGAGAGAGAGGAGAATTTTCATACTGAAATGTAAGTAAGATAATAGTGCCAGGCAGTGAGGGAATTCACTTTCCAAAGAGGGATCTCAAACGGGTTTTACATCGTCAGGCAATATTGAGAAATCCGCAGAGATGACCCTGAAAATGATTCAGCCCTATCCATCTGACCATTTTTCTTCTTCTGTGTTACTTTCCAATACCCCAAATGAAGAATCAAGCCCTGAAGTACGGAGGGCGGGGGAGCTGGAGAGAGGAGGAGCATTTTGCTTTGTCTTCTAGTCATAAAAGCTACGTTTGTTATTTTAAATGGTAACAGATTCCCCTTGGGATACAGGAACTATGTGCTGGTCATAAAAAAAGGAAAGGGAGAGGAAAGAATAAGTATTTTTTAAATAGTCTTGAATCTGAAAACACGTGGGATCCCTCTTAACAGAATACCTTATCCTACCAGGAAAAAGAAAGGCCAGTCAGGCTTCAACCGAAAGAGCAGTCTCTTCTCACATGGTCCTTCTAGCTTACAAATTTGGTTCTGAAAGTATTTACAGAAACTCCTGCCCAGCAGTCCTCTTGGGCTGGGACAACCTTACAAGCGCTCAGCAAACCACAAGCCTAAGCTAATGGTGCTGCTGCTGACATTTGGGTGACACAAAACAGACTGAAAGAAAACTTTAAAGCAAAAATTAGCCACAAAGGAGACGTAATGCGTCCTACAGTTCATGGCTGCTTTGTTTCTGGCTCTTTCATCGTTCCTGGGAACATCTCTTGGGAGCAGGAGTGAAGTAAGACCCTAGTTGAGAATCTCACTGTTGTCCTTCCACGGGCAATACAAGAACCCCCTTCCACCAACCAAGCACAGATATTGAAGGCGCCGAAGCAAATGAAGACACTTCATTTACCTGCACCCATCTCCTCTTACTTCTCTTTTAATGACTTTACTGTAAAAATTGGAAAGGGAAGGAATTCAAGTCACTTTTTCTGAGCTTCAGTTTTTCTTCTAAAAATCAGATGACTGAATCAATATACCTTAGGAGTCTGTTGTGGATGGCAAGGAGGAAAAGCTGGCCATGACCCCTGTTTTATATTTTGCTATTGTGCATAAAAGTCCACTTGAAAAATGATGTCTGCGCTTAAAAAAAAAAAAAAAAAGCTGGAAAGACGTAGGATAAGAGATCTCTAGTGTCCCTTCCGGTCCTAACATTCAAATATGCTAATTTGTTTCTTGTTGCCTCCTGGCAGAGATTCCCATGGGGGTCTCTCCTTGTGGAATAACTGAACGTCTATTTTGACAATGGATTTTATTGCTCATCTTTGCTGCACTTTGCAGAGTTGTTCAAAGTTCAAAACTTCACATTGAACTTGAGTTGGAAGACTGAAACCAAAAGAGAAAAGTGGAGAGAGCAACAGGGAGATCCACAAAACAACAGGGAACATGCAGCCTGTAATAAAGGCTGATGTGACGGAGAACAACGGGCCAAGAACAAGTGGGGCAAGGGAGTACCCTAGGAGCCTCTCTGCCAACACATGGCAAGCTGGATATCGACTACAATTGCCAAGTTGGAAGACAACCAGTAATTCACCACCAAACCAAACACAAGAGGATAAAAGGTCAATGCCTCTGGAAAGGACCCTTGGATTGTTACTAACTACTCCTAGGGGTGAATGGACCTGGGAGCCTTGCAATCTGGTACCTTAACAGGATGATCATAAAATGATTATTCCAGAGAAATCTGAGGCAGGGCAAGCACAGTTGACACCTGCTAAGCAACATGTCACTTCTGAACCAAAGATGGGGAAGAAAGTCACCTTTGCTCTCTCAAGCTGGATAGCTGCTTGCTGCTCTCTCTCCTGCCGAATGGCTTCTCGGTCCTCCTCCAAAGAGACATCGGAGTCAGACGGCCTGCTTGTGTAGGAATCCGCTGAACCCTGGAAAGGAAAACATAAAGTAGTTTAAGTGAGGTGATGTGTAGCTTCTCAAGTTATCACATCCATAACAGTATCCTGGGGTGTGTTCTTTTCATTTGCATGGAATTTGATGCACATACCCTGTGCCTTATTGCATATATAAATTTAGATGGCAGAATACAGTTAAGCATCTGAAGGTAGCAATGTTGTGAAAGCAAATATTTTGACTAGATTAACTGCTAGAAAGTAAACTGCAATGAAAATTATGCAATACTTAGCCTCAATTCTTCTTGTTTTGTGCTATCTTTATATTAAGCCCATATTCATTTTGTGGAACTTAAATTTCATTCCATTCTCTCTCTGTGTACACATCTAAAGAAAAAAGAGAGTCAGTCTATTACAAGAGCTAAATCCTACCTGTCTTGGATTAAAGTCATCTACTTGTCCACGATTTCAACATAGCAAAGCAGTATTCTGCATTAGTAAAATGATTCTCCAGTTTCAAGGTCAACACTACTAGATTCACTAATAAAACTTAAATCATTATTCTACAGCAGCCCACAGTTAACTTGGCTAGTGTGGCCACAGAGCAGAAAAACAACCTTAAGGATGAAAACAAAGCTGTTCTCAGATGAAGACCATGCCTAGCAGGGCTATGTGAATGATGCTCAAGTCCAGCCTGACTGATGTGGCTGAGGGCCTGTGGGTGCCTGACATCACTTGGTGCTCCAGCCATAAGCAGAGATGAAAACCAGAGCAGCTAGTTAAAAAATAAAACCCCCCAAAAGCTAGAAGTTTGTCTTCTGGCTGCTAAAGGAACTTCATCCTTGCGATTTACTTAAGATGGCATCAGAAGTTGATATTTGCATAGACGGTGACATTTACACAGCAAAGGTAGTGATAGGACTACTATACTTGGGATGTTTCATAAATCATGCACAGGTTTTGAAAAGTGTAGACCTACCCATATAGCGGAGAACCTGCTATCCAGTGCAAAAAAAGAACTCTACGAAATGGATGACTGCTAAAACTGGCCTTTTGAAAGTCTTTCTAATCTTAGAAATGGTAGGGTTCGTTTATTTATACATTGGCTGTGAATTTGCTGCCTGTAAGGGGAAGCTTTGTCTCTGTTGAGGTCACCATTCTAGCTGGCGTGGTCTTTCTCGTCACAGAAGAATCCCAGAGCAGATTATTCCTGGAAGTTTACGTCTTATAACTGGGTAGTCTTTGATGTGTTTTAGCTCTGGTTCTGAGTTCTGTCTCTGAGATACACTCCTGAAAAACATTATGCAAGTTACTGGGTAACTCCAAGACTCAGTCTCCACGTCTGTAAAATGTGGACACTGCCTACTTCATAGGGTTGCTATGGGGATTAAATGGAATAAAATATAATAAACAGCTACTATTTATTGAGCCTTCATTATCTCACTGGCACTGGGCTAGATGCTTTGCACCCCTTATCTCAATGAGTCCTCCTAGTGGTGGCAGAGCTGGAATTCAAACCCAGTGAGTCCAGCGAGTCCAGGTTTAGAGCTGGCAGTTTCAAACCTTACCACAAGCTGCATTTGATGTTAAAATACTTCTCCTAGGACCTGACACATAATAGGTGCACAATGAGTGTCACCCTCACCCGTTTCCTAACGCTGATGTTTCTACATTGATACAAAGAATTATGAGATTCTCATCATTTTTCAGCTCACTTATTGTATGGAAAATAGCCCATCTTGAAATGTATCCATCTTTCTTATGATATTTATTGCCTACAAAATATACTGTAAATCTGATAACTCAATGTTTTCAAATGCTTTATGTAGCCCTTTTGATAGTGCCCTTTCCAGAGGAAAGGCATTTGTTAACCAAATTAGAACCAAAGTCCTCTGTGCAAATCTACTAAGGAAAAATATGGACCTACAGAATGGATAAATGCAGGGTGACTGCTGTTTTAGAGATGTATTCTTTTCTTAAAAAGAAAGCTAGCTTGAAATCCTTTAAAACAGAGAGTTCTCTCAGAACCCATCTGCTGCCCAGGTACACCTGTATAAAATCCAGAGGAAGAGAGAAAGGGAAGAACGTTTCTAAAACATATGTGGAAACAGTTTTGACTTGGTCTTGGGGAACGCTTTGCTGGAGGTGTGATGTGTGTGGTGGATCATCATGATAAAGTGTTGGATGGGCTGTTGTGAAGGTATTGGATCATGAAGTGATTATGATGCAGTATACGAGGAAGGAGCCAGTTGCCTTATTTTGATAACATGTGCAGGGGAAGGCTAATGACTACAGTTCACAAGAAAGCAAGCTGCCTGCTGGAGCAGTGAGTCAAACCGCTAAAATACACAATCCACAGCTGACACTAGGAGATGGCTAATTTCCTGAAACTACCCTAACAACTTTTCAAAACCTGGCATTCAATCATCTCTGAGCACACAAAGAAGTGTCTCAAGGACTCCTGCAAATGAACTTCATTTTGAAATGTGAACAAGATTGTGAGAATTTCAAAATTACTTAATAAGCTCTACTATTGCCAACGATGTAGAAGCAGAAGCTTCTGTTTACTTCCCTGTTTCTAAGAATATCGGTAGATGGAAAAATACTATGATAACCATTTTCATAATTACGGTGTTTTTTCTTCACAACATTGACTCTGGGGTTTTTTCAGTGTCATCTACATTTCTTTGAATGTAAAAATCATTGTTGGTGTCTCTCAAGGTCCTGGGGAAAGCAGAGGTCCAACACTGAGAGCCCTAATTTAGCCCATAGACATGTTCTGTTTGTCTGACACAGAATTGCTTTCTTGTTTTTATTTATTTTTGTCTTATTTTAATTAAACTGGTTGAAAGAGAGTATAGACATGTCCCAGAAGAAAAAAGAAAAGGATCTAGGTTATTTACAGAGGGAAGAGAAAGCAAGTCACAGTGAGGCTGGGAGGAGATGGCCTGGGCTTCAGTGAAGGAAGGACCTGAGAGGGGAAGGTGCAGGCAGGCTTGGTAAGACTGGAATCAGGTGAACAGGGATTACCCAGAGTCTGGTTAAACATTTAATAAACAGGAACAGCGAAATGGCAAGAAGGAAATAATGCTAGATGCTAACAGGACAAAACCAAAGATGTAAATTATATAATCCCTGGCCAAAGCTGGACATTGCAGCCCCGAAGGCTTTTCATTTTCCAGTATTCCATTTCATACAGTAGGTGAGGAGCGAGTTTCTCCACTTATCGAGTACTCCAAACTAGGACATTAACCTATATGCAAGAAGCATGACAGTGGCTAGTTCTGCAAAAGTTCCTAAGCAGACACCATTGCAAGTCACATCTTGGAGTCTCCGATGAACCAACTAAATTGGAAAAAAAAATCAAAACAAACAAAAATAATTGGCTGCAAGCCTCTTCGCGTGTGTGTGTGTATAAAAAATATATAGACACACAGAAAGAGAGAGAGAGAGAGTGAGCACCCTGGTGGCGCAACAGTTAAGCACTCGGCTGCTAACTGAAAGGCTGGCAGTTGGAAAACACTCAGAGGCTCCGCAGGGGAAAGACCTGGCGATTTGCTTCCACAAAGATTACAGCCAAGAAAACCCTATGGGGCAGTTCTATTCTCTCACATGGGGTTGCTATGAGTTGGAATAGATTCAACGGCACCCACAACACACGTGTTTATGTTTGTGTGTGTAATTTTAAGGGCCATAAAAGAACGCATCCTAGTGAACATGCACAGAAACACGTCTTCCCATTAAAATAAAACCCATACTCTTTTTTTCTTCTTGTCTTCAAAATTGAAAACAGATTCCAGCCACATACCTTCTGTGAATCTTCTTGAGAACAAAATACAAAATGCTGGTGGAAACACTGGAAAATCAGTTCAGTCTTATCTCCTGGGAGAAGGAAAGTGATCTCAAGTCAAACAACAGACGGGCTTCCTCTCATTCCCAGGGAGAGAGAGTCATGATGTAGGTAGGAGAGAGGCCATGAACTTCAGGACCAGACCATGTTGGGTTGACAGTGTCTCAAGTTATTCAGAGCTGTAGATCTTTGGCATGTTGTTTATTTATTTATTTATTAGCTGTAGATACATTTATTATTAGGAACAAAGATTTCAGTCAGGGAAAGTAGTCATTTAAAATGCTCATTAGGCTCATAAATTAAATTTTTGTAAGTTAAGCACATGAGGACGTGAACTTTCAGGAAAATAGATAGGACTTGAAATCCAAAACTATCCAAGCGACCACCTGTTTCATTTTATTTTCACTTAATAGTGTTGTTTGTTTGTTTGTTTTTTTTACTTGTGTTTTAGGTGAAAGTTTACAGCTCAAGTTAGTTTCTCAAACAAAAATTTATACACACATCGTTATGTGACCCTAGTTGCTATCCCTATAATGTGACAGCACACTCCCCCTTTCCACCCTAGATTTCTCATGTCCATTCAACCAGCTCCTATCCCCTTCTGCCTTCTCGTCTCGCCTTAGGACAGGAGCTATCCATGTAGTCTCGTGTATCCATTTGAACTAAAAAGCACACTCTTCACGAGTATCATTTTATGTTTTGTAGTCTAGTCTATTCTTTGTCTGAAGAGTTGGCTTTGGGACTGGTTTTAGTTCTGGGTTAACAGAGTCTCAGAGCCATGCCTTCTGGGGTTCCTCTAGTCTCAGTCAGACCATGAAGTGTGGTCTTTTTATGTCAATTTGGGTTCTGCACCCCACTTTTCTCCGGCTCCATCAGGGACTCTCAATTGCTTTCCCCATCAGGGCAGTCATTGGTGGTAGCCGGGCACCATCTAGTTCTTCTGGTCTCAGGCTGATGAAGTCTCTGGTTTATGTGGCCCTTTTGTTTCTTGAGCTAATACTTTCCTTGTGTCTTTGGTGTTCTTCATTCTCCTTTGCTCCAGGTGGGTTGGGACAAATTGACGCATCTTAGATGACTGCTTGCTAGCTTGTAAGACCCCAGATGCCACTCACTAAAGTGGGATGCAAAACATTTTCTTAATAAACTTTGCTATGCCAATTGACCTAAATGTCCCCTGAAACCATGG